GAGAAAATTAGCAAGACTAGAAGACGTAAAACAAAGAAAGCAATAGACTCACCCTCAAAGACATTCCGGCTATGCCCCGTGATAGGCCAGCATAGGTGATCTCCTGAAGGGCCCTGCTTTCAGTAGCAGAACAAAGAAGGGAAAATTGGGGCACCAGGTTCACCGTGTCGTCCAACAAATCGCACTCCGGAGCAACCTCGATCACGCGGGAGGAATCATCCATTCCCGCCTCCACCCGAGTGAATCCCGCCTCAAACATGCTTATTCTTCGGGGTCAATATCTGAACCAGATTCATAGTCATCTACAACTACACCCTTTACCCTCTCGCTGGCCGAAGCGGGAGCACGGGCATGTTGTGAAGTCGATGGACCACTCAGAATGATTGCAACGGCCTCCGAGTTCTGCCCCCTACGACGGTAGTCTCCCCCACGCCAGAAACGGGAACCACCTCCACGCCCGAGGGGGATACGGTTTCCTCACCTAAATTGGCTTCACCAGAAGGCTCGGACACTGCCAACACGGGATCGCCCCTCGAAGGCCCCTCAGTCCAGGGTACCCCATCGTCCCTTGCTCTTCGCCTCTTTAATGGAGCCTCTTCGACGTCATCCTGAGACGATTCGTCCACTAAATGAACCACGAGAAGCAAAGCCTCCGCCTGATGAGAAACCTTACGACGGCCTAGCCCGGGAGGGGCCGTAGTCTGTAAAGTAGCAGTGGTCAGAACGCTCTCACTTGCAGCCGCAATTGGTGCAGGTCCGATCGAGAGACTCGACTGACGGAAAGCAGGTATGGGAGCCCTCGCCCTCCTCATGACCCATCGACCTACCAACGAGAGAAGCTTAAACCAAATAGGAAAATACATAACAAATGGCAAAGAGCAAGGGCAAAACAAGGTGATCACCACCAGAGGATCTACGCCCGAATCTCTCATGGAACGACGACTATTCACGAATCCCCATCGTATGGGGCAAAACCTGACTCACCCACTCGCGAATATCAGTGACTAGCGGAGGAGGTGCCTTCTCGGTTGCAAAACAGAGGGAAAAAGAAGAACGATCAAGTCACCGGAAGGGGACAACGAGAAGTCGTTTTACAAATATATATATATATATATATATATATATATATATAT